TGCTGGCGACCACGAAGATAGGAAGAGAACCAGGTCCTCACCGAAGAAGGGATGTGAGTGAGGATTGCAAGGAGAATGTCGTAGTTGACCATGTTGAAGGCGTTGGAAAAATCAATCAAGACCATTACTGTCAACTGCGATTTCTCCATGCCGCAACGAACGTCACCGAGGACATTAAGGAGAGTAGTGGTTGTGCTATGGCCGGGTCGAAACCCGGATTGAAAAGGACTAAGCATCCTATGACGCAAAATAAAAGAAGAGAGTTGATGATGTACGGCAGCTTCTAAAATCTTAGAAAAAAACGGTAAAATTGAAATGGGCCGATAATGGCTTAGAGAGGATGGTGAAGTGTTTTTGGGAATAGGGATAATAATGGAATGTTGCCAGATGGAAGGATAGGAACTAGAAGAAAGAGAGAAATTTATAATAAAAGTCAGACTGGGAAGTATACATTCAAGTATAAACATGATCATAGTCCTCCCGATGTCATCACAACCAACTGCTTTGGATTTTATTGAAAGCACAATTTTACGAACCTCCTCTTCGGTGACTGGACGAATGCAGAATGAATCGTTTGTAGAAGGTGCCATGGCAGCAATAGTAGAAACAGTAGAAAGGGTAACTGAAGTGGGGAGAGAAGGAACAGAAGAGAAATGCTTATTGAGCTCATCAGGTGACACAGAAGAGATATGTTTGGGAGTGGTTTTACCAAAACCGAGAGAGCGTAGAAACTTCCATGTATTGGCAGGACTAGAATTCAAAATATTCTGGTGAATGTATTGGCGTTTGGCAGCTCTCACCATTTGATTGCAGCGGTTCCTGGCGGTCTTAAAAGCCTCCCAATTATGATCAGTGCGGCACCGTTTATACGTCCGGAAGCATCTATTACGTCTCCGCATTGCCATGCGAACACCTGCAGTAATCCACGGCGCGGGCGGTCGTTTCAATTTTACACACTTTATGGGAGCATGTCGGTCAAAAAGACTGGTAATGGCACTATTAAAATAAGAAACTATGCTATTAATGTTAGAAGTTTCGGCAAGGGGTTTCCAGTCTATATTATATGCGTCAATTTTTAGTTTCTCCACATCCAGTCTTGCAAAGTTTCGCATTCGAACGATTTGAGGTTTAGATTTAGGAGCTTTAGCCTTGTATGCTAAGAAAAGAAGGTCATGCCTGGAGAAGCCAGGTGCAGAGAGTTGGCCATGTTTAATGACGTTGACGCTAACAATGAGTACACCTGCGTTCCGTCCCTCAGTCATACTCACCCTGTGTTTACTACTACTCATCCTGTTCTGCCGTTTTTTCTCGACCACTATTTGCCTACTGATACCGCCGCTGCTTACTTGTTTGACCCTTGCTTGTTACTGGATTCCGTTGTGCCTAACGATTTGGACTGTAGTTACTTGGAAGTGTGAGTGATGCCCTACACTCTGAGTGAATATGCAGAAATGCATTATTTCTACGGCGTTGCACAAGGCAACGGTCGTGAAGCAGCAAGACTCTACAGGGATCAACTTCAACGCCGAGGCGGAGCGCAACCTGATTATTGCCCTGACTATCGTGTTTAATTAATACTCACAATACGTTAATGGCAGGCCGCATTCCTGGCCAACGTGGCGGTGAAGGCATTCAGAGGGTTGATCAGGAACGCAGGGAAATCGTACTGGAAGAAGTGTAACGCAATAATACTACAAGTACGAGAGCTTTAGCTCGTAACCTTACCACATACCAAGATCTTCAATACAGGATATTTTGCGTGAGGAATCATTTCACGCCTACCACATACAAAAAGCACAAGCGTTGAAGCCTTCATATTATCAATTTAGAGTCGAGTTCTATAGAACTATGTTTCAGATAGAGGAAGAAGATCCCGGATACTTTAATAAAATCTTATGGACCGACGCCGACGAGTCAAGATTTGAGCGTACTGGAGTTTTCAATATCCACAATTTTCACATTTGGGCTGTAGAAAATCCATATGCCGCCAGACCATCATCATTTCAACATCATTTTAGAGTGAACATGTGGTCTGGTGTTTTCAATGGCGAATTAATAGGCCCATTTGAACTGCCATCGAGATTAGACGGCGACACATATAAAAGTTTTTTAGAAGAAAATCTACCCATATTACTGGAAGATGTAAATCTTGAATTAAGAAGAACGATGGTGTTCCAGAACGACGGGTCGCCATGTCATTACGCGACACAAGTGCGTCGCCAGTTAGATCAGACCTACCCCAACAGGTGGATCGGACGACGAGGCCCAATTGCCTGGCCACTACGCTCGCCTGACCTCAACCCTATTGATTATTTTATCTGGGGTTACTTTAAAGAAATTGCGTACGCCAGAGAAGCTTTGAGTGAAGAAGAACTGAGAGCAAAAATTCGCGAAGCTGAAACCACTGTGAAAAATAACCGTGAAGCTTTTAGGCACCTAAAACACAAATTTTGAAAATTCGCTTTAAATAAATGTATTTTGTTAACAATTAACTGCGTTTTACTCAAATCCATCATAACTCACAGAAAGTCAAAGATTTAAATAAAAGAAAATAATTAAAATTATTTTTTCCTTTGAAAATGCCTTAATTTACTTTGAAGGTCAGTTACAGAAAATAAACCCCCGTTAACTCTATCTTTATTTGGCCTTGTTTTAAAGTTTAATGTTTCAGGAAGTTTCTTAAAGCACTTGGAACTCCAAATCCCCCCATTTATATTTTTTTTGATACTTTGAGAATTTGTGTGTACTGAGCTCAAATCGTAATTTTGAACTTTCGAACAAATTCTAAGTGAATTCTGCAATGCCTAGATAAACCATAAGTTTTAGGGTGCTAGGTTAGACTATGTTAGTCAGTTTTCTCAAAAAATCTGAATCAGAAACGTCCAACAGAATGAGAAAAAAATCGAAAATTGATGTTAGGTGAAAATTACGAAAAAAATCATTAAAAAAATTATAACTCGAAAACTACGCAAAATGGTAGAACATACATGGGGGTGATTTGGATACTCCTCATCATAAAGTATCTAAATTTTGCGCTTGAACGTCAACTCCCCGGCCACCCTGTATTTTAAATTATAAATAAAAAACACAAAATGTGGAAAAATAACCCTCTCAAATCTAGAGAGTTATTGTAATTTAGAGAAAATGCTCTAGTTATCATGCAACGTGTCTTGCAATGCCTGCTTGTTTTTTCGCAAGAAGACAATGGATAACTTTATCCCTGTACTTAAGTATCAATATCATAGTTTTGGTTTTAACATGCCATAAATTTTACTCCATTTGGTTTTAGTTTCAAAAAACAAAGAACAATTCCGATTTGCCAAGTAGTCTTAAGGTACCGACTGAGAGATTATGGGATGGCTGTGTTTGGAGAATTTTAAATTTGCTGATACGGCATTGAAGTAAGTACACTTTATTGAATTTACTATAGTTATCTATATTTATAGTTAACTATCATCTTAATAAACTATTCAACTTTTTTGTATATTTTTTTTATTTTGGTTGTCAAATCGTTTATTTAATTCTGCTAAAATATTATTGTTAATAATTCATCGATAGCTAGGCGGTACAAAGTTTGCCGGGTCAGCTAGTTTTTCATAAATAGGTATTGCGCTGAATCATTGATTCACACACAAATTGGTTTATATTTTCTAAGCTGAAGCGTACTTAGTTAATTTTGTAAAAAAAACAGGTCATTTAAGTGAGTCCGACTAGAATACCAAATTTTCCGTACCATATCGTACAAGGTTAATAACTTTGCAGTACAACCAGTACAACCGTTGTAATCTGCAAAAATGCTCTTTTTGCAAATCACCATAGCAACGTTTTATGTATGGAGAAAAAAGGCGAGCTTCGTTTTTAAAATTTATTTTATATTTACCATATTTTTTTATAAGAGCGGCAATATGATATAAAAAATACAAATTTTGTGTAAAATCAACTTTCTAACTCTTGGGCTATTTAAGCGTTGCAAGTCTACAAAGAACACTGTAGCTGGGTACGGATAGCGCATTTCAGGGTACGCGTATGCGTTCCCTGGAACGCCATTGATGCACTTGTGACTACGCGTACCCTCTATGAGTATAGTATTGTTCTAGGGTGTTTCCTGGTAGTCAGCTACGCGTTCCCTGGAACGAACTACCGTAGTACCGTACGCAACTTACGGTCCGTCTATCCTTAGCTTAGCCCAGAGACAGACAGTTATATTCGTACGAAGAATCTCATTAAGTTGATTAAAATTTTGATCAAATAAATAGATATAATGAAAAAACATGACTAGACGAAATACAATATAGGTAGTATGTAGTCATTCACAATTACGAACTAACTTTGTGTTAAATTGTAGTTATCTTTCGATTTTACACTAAATCATAAATAGTTTCATTTAAACGATAAATACAATACCTACCCGATATTGTTTTTGAGTAAAACTAGAGGTCATGATCTAATCATAGTTATTTTTCTTAGCAAAAGCAGCGATTATGAACTGGTATGTCGAAATAAGCCGTTCTGTAATTAGGGCGTGACTCACAAGGCTTTTTGCAAAGAATCGAAAGTTATGATGATATTCTATTTCGAATCAGTTAAATGCTAACATCGTGGTATGTCATACTTATTTTATGGTTATTTAATATTAATTTTAGTTGGAAAATACAGATTCAATCAATATTCAATAGTTTCAATACATTTTTAGCACTTACAAATGCAAGAACCGGTAAGTATTACTCAATAATATGATGCTCTTTGTTTATTTAGAAACACCCATCGCGCAATAAAACAAAGGTCTTCTAACATCTGTATAGATTATTATGTGTATTATGAATGCAAATATGTTTTACCTACATGTACTAAGAATGACTATTACGAAGTGTTAGGAAAGAACATTAACATTTGTAAGGAGCATTACCATATTAATTTTAAAATATAACCTCTTTTAAAATGGTCTAACAGATACCTATCAATTTAAATATTTATATGAAATTGGAAGCCACTTTACTTACTCGTTGCGTCCATTGCAAATGTTTAGCCTTCAGATAGATTTCTTTATTGCCACATAAAAAATATGTTCACAGCACTCGACTTCAAGAATGACGAAACAAATTTTTATTAGATAAATTATTCTTTACGTATTTACTATAACTTAACGTAAACTTAATGATAAAGTAAATTTACGTTTTGATCTCGCGCTGTTTACGCTCCGAGTGAATGCACTGTTCGTAAATGCGCACGCGCAGTTACGTCACGCGCGAGGGAGCGAGACTCGTTGTGACGTAAACACTGTGCGAGAAAGAGACAGAGCTGCTGACGTCTTGTAATCATAAGTTTACTAGCATAGCATTAACTTTGTTCATGTTCAAATGCCAATTTAAGTAGGTATGCATGCGCAACTCTGACATATAAAGTTGTTTTTGTTCTTTATAAATTGTTCGTTTGTGGCCAGTGGCGGATTAAACATTGAGAGCGCCGTAGGCAAGCATCTCATCGGCGCAGGCGCTCCTAAAGTAACTCGTACTATAGTTTCCAACTTTAACCAGAGATCATGTACCATCGACAAAGTTGTTTGTAGGTGTAATTATTAGTCAGTCCCATCCGTTAAATTTATCTTACGTTATAAATTTTAGCAAATTGAGGTTGTAAGCAAAAATAATAGTTTTTATTGTGTAAGTAGGTATCTTACTTACTGGCCCAATTAATTTTATGCTTAATTATTTTTTCTTTCTTTTATTTTACAATTCCGCCCGCGCGCCCCTTTGTACCCTCGCGCCCCTAGGCACATGCCTAGTTTGCCTTAAGGATAATCCGCCTCTGTTTGTGGCTTTTTTGGACTGCAAGTTTTATTTTTATATTCTGAGGTTAGCTAGAGAGGTAGGTATGCCAGGAGGCTTACTACGATTTCTTATTGCAGAACTGATAAGGTTCGTAATAAGTTCTTAATAAGAACTGCTTTCGATTTCAATTTAGTCTGAATCTGGATACAATGTTTCAACTAAAAGATAGTATACGATACGTGGCGCTAAATTCCTGGTTAAATTAAAATGTTATTGGAAACTAACCCATATAATAAGGCGTTAACAACTGACATAATAATTAGTATATTCTTCAACTACGTAACAATTCACATTATACAGACTATATCAATCGGCTTGATTATTTATACAATTGTGTTTATAACGTACAAACATCTTAAACTGAATCGCAAGCTGTCAAATTTGGCGTTTTAGAAAAACGCCTATTTGACATATCAACAAAAGATAGGTGGAGGATATGTATCTTTATTAATTAAATTCGGACTGACTCATCATGACACATTTTAAAAATTCTGTCACTAGTAGAAAGTTTTATTGTAAATTATTACAATAAAACAAAATTTTTCCCAACAATTCTACGGGAACGAGACTACGAGTGTCAAACTTAACTAGTCACTTAACTAATTCGCAAAACGAATTCTGTAATGTTTGAAATTGTAGAAGAATAAGTATAACTTTTGTTCTGTTAATTCCACGGACACGGGAACTCCAGTTCTTCAACTCCATTCTATTTTCCAATCACTTGACCGATTTCGAAACCATTTTTATCAGATCGTACCTACGTATATACCATTTATTTCCGGATGCTGATTCGTGTCTACTTAATACAATACTCCCGTGCGTAGTCTGTCAGTAGTTTGTCATTCTGTTGTGTTTCGTCAAATAGTCGAAAAGTTTGTCTGTATGTCGTGGCTTAACTACGAGGCTTCCAAAAGGCAATGGAAAAGAATTACATAAGAAACTCAGTCCGGCTACTTTCAAAATCTGTATTAATTTATTTGATCTTTTTTCGGATGCTGATTCAGTATGTTTTCATAGTAATTAAGGCACCCGTGTGAAGCCTCGACGCTAGCCGTTGTATAAAGGACAATATTAAAATTGGCCTAAGAACCAAAACCAATAAAGTAAGTAATATAGTAAGTAATAAAGTAACCAAGTAAGCTAAATTAAAAAGTTAAAAAATAATCTGAGACAATCAATACCATTTAATATGTATAATCTATGACGGCGCTGCAAACAAAACACTCTTTCTTCCTAATGCCGGCACTTCACTTGGCTATTCGTATTTGCTATTTTAAAACATGACATCAGTCTGTCCTTTTCATTCCTTAATAAGCATGACAAGGGCAAACTGTTGTCAAGTGAAGGGCCGGCATAAAACTCGTTACTCTGTGGTTGTGGTGCAGGCAGTTTGCATTCGTAGTAATCTGTGGCATTCGTGCATTCCAAAGAGTAGTTAAAAAAAAACAAAGAGCAGAGCCCTTAGCACTTTTCTTCGTCTAAGCCTTAGCCCCTTATTACCAAGTGCTAGTGAACCTGTGCAACAACATCCTGAGAGGATCGTACTGCCAAATTATTCAAGAACACCTGATACACATTCACGCTGCATATTATTATATTCACAATATACATGTGATATACAAATAAATACAATATACAATATGATACAATTTTGTAAAAAATAGTTAAATAAGAAGCAAAACTACAGTTTTTATTTTATTCATGATTCCTACCGAACCAAGTTTTTCCTAATAGTTATTCTTTACAATCGCACCGAATAAAATGAATTAGTAATATTAATTCACTTCATACTAAGTTCATAGGTTGACCTATGTTTCATTGAATATTAAACATAACCTCAAAAAAAAAAATTAGTTTTCCTAATAATTTAAGTTCTCAGAAGTGTCCGTCAAAATCTTTGTTTTTACAGTCGTTTACTTACGATTTCGAACCTAGAAAATAATATTTCATGATTGTTGGTTTTTAGGCTGGACGCTGAACAATGTCCTTTTCCCAGGTAACTAAAAACTCACATTGTAAATTTAGATTGAGGTAATTTTTAAACTTGACGTGTCTGTTTTTGTATAGTACGCGGAGAAAACACAGCTCTTGTGTTCTCTAACAGCTTAAACGGAATAAACGATATTGAATTTTGAACTTATCAAACATTCAGAAATTCACTGCTTTCTTTGTAATAATGCTTAATTGTTTTGTCTGTCTGAATCTAGATCTGTACTTTACATCAATAAATGTACGTATCACTCCATCTTTGTCAATTGTTTAAAGTCGACTCGGATAGAATGAGATATGGATTTGTTTTTAATTTTATTAAAGAACTTTGGTGCAAGTGAGCTTTAAAATGAAGCCTCATTAAAATTTCAAAAACGATTTTTTCTTTGTATTCTTGTACCAACCTGCGTTGGAAGAGATCGCGAAAAATAAAAAGAAAATTTCATTTGAATGTGGCTACTTTATTAAACTTGGCAATATGCTGCACGAGAACGTTCAGTCCTATGGCCATTGTTCGGGCGCGCATTGTCGGAGCCAAATGGGTCATAAAAGTTATTATGAGGATTACAGGTGCTAACCACCGAGTGCTATAGCCATCACGAGTGTGTTTGTATGCATCTAATTATGGCACACGATGGCTTAAAAATCACACAACATCGACTGTAAGTAGAAGTGTTGGGAAAATGACTCATTGTAGCATATTTTTTTATGTAACTTTTGCTTTTAGGAACTTTAAGCTATTGGTATTTGTGATATTGTTTATAAAAATCGCTAAACTAAGTAGGAAATGGTAAGTCAGATTTATCAACATGCATAGCATCAACTCTAAATGTTGATACCTAAGGAAATATTTTATTACTGTTTAGTGGTTTTGTTATATGAAGTCGGGTTTTATTTTTAAAAAGTTTACTTTCTACTTTTTACTAACTCGAGCAATATCAACTGAAACCTTATAAAATACTCGTTTAAACGATACGAAGTCCTTCATCAGGTTATCCCAATTATTCTATGGGACCGCCTTGAGAAAAGTTTTTTTTTAAATAACTACATTATTAATAATACCCTAAATTGATATAACTTATTACCGAAAAAAGGACACAATCAATTTGTTCCACCATATTGCATTGTAAACAGTAGATAAAAACATACATTCGAATTAAGTACTTCCTCATTTCGGTTGAAAATAATTTAATAGATCTGGCGCAATATGGGTGATTATCTGAGCGGTATTAAAACACGAATGTGGATATTACACGAAGCGAAGGCTAGTATGAAAATAGTTTCACACAAGTGTTTAATTGAATACCTAATTATAAAAAGTTGCACACAAGACTTTATCTTCGCTCGTAATATGAATACATCATAAAAGATTCTGAAACCACGGAGCATTGTAAATACTTTAAATGCCACCAAAAACATGTTCATGTAAAATGTTGCCAAGACGAGACCATATGACTCTAACTGTCAAAAATTTATCTCAAGTAAAGTTATGCTTTGAACTCTACAAGCCTAACTTCACACATCTTATACAAAATATGTAGCTTGGCTATGGCCAAGCTACATATTTTGTATGATATGTCATTACATTCACATGGGCGTAAGGTGAAATTTTATTCACTGTTCATTATTTTTCTGTTATACAATAGTTCTTGTAGTAACGAAACCGCCAAGCCACATAATTTGATTAAGGTGTAGGTAAAGGTTGCGAGTAAAGATAGGCACGGTTAGGAAGCCGAGGCACCCATACGTATAATGCGTTTCAACTAAGAATAGGACCGATTGGGCGCCATATTTTGACGTCATAGCTGTCAATTCAAACCAAATAGGTAGAGCGAGCAAAAAAATATTGCTAATTAATAAAACTTGTTTAAGATTAAGTGTGACAAAATATCAGATTTAAAAAAAAATTCAAAGGCACGATGTTTTTTTATGCATATTCACCGATTTCTACGTCAATTGTGGACCGATTTCCTCAATTCTATTTTTATTCGAAAGAGTGCACTTTCGAGGTTGTCTCATTGGAACCAATTCAGGATCTGATAGTGGAATTCTGCGAAATCGAGGGAAACCTTCTTATAAAAAATATTATTACTTGGACGATGTAATTTTCACAATAGTTATTTTATATGTACACCGGTTACTTAAAGATTTCTGATCCAATTTGAGTGATTCTTCTTTTTTTCAATTGGAGATACTTGACGTTTGGTTTCAATAAAAATATTTTGTTTGATCCAGTAGTTTTTATTTAATAAGCATTTTTGTTTATTGTTTACTTGGACGATGTAATTTTCACTAAAATGAATGAAATAAAAAGAAATAAACAAAAAATAAAATCGACTTTAAAATCGAAAATGGAGCTTAAAAGTGTTTTTTCTGATCGGTAATAATACGTCTTTAAAACTTGACCCGCCCGACTTCCAAATCATGAACCAGATATTTTTTTTTTACTTTTTAGTTCCATTTTCGATTTTGAAGTCGGTTTTATATGTTATGTAATTTATTTGACCGCTAAAATACGACAGATATCGATTTTTATGGCACTTTTGCCGGCCGCTGCTCGCATGTACGAGTATGTGGCCAGTTTAGCAACTTCAATATATCACGAAGTAGTGCTCAAATTTCCCAGCCTGTTTTAAAAGAAATATTTTTACAAATGATATCATACGTCGAGCAATAAAATGATTGTGGCTGTCTGATGGGTAAACCTTTTGCGCAGAAGGAATAGAAAAAGCAAAAGGGTGTTTGGATTATACAGTGCGACCAAGATCTTTATGAATGTGAGTGACAGTTCAGGGAGGGCGCTACTGTCTACGTAAATGACGTACAAAATATGACGTTTACAAAGCCGGTGGCGTTAGTTCTAATTTTCGCCACATTCATAAAGATCTTGGTCGCACTGTATTAAGGTTACATAGATACTTAGGTACGATACGTTAGGACACAAGATGTTTTAACATGCTAATAATATAGGCAATATTCTTACTGTGTCTGTATATTATATAGTGGTTTTAAAGCATGGGTTTAGATTAAATATAATAAGAAGCACAATTTTGAAGGAATAATAAGGAATCATAAATAATTACATCATGGAACTGCTAAGTACCTAATGCGGAATTTCAGTAAACTTCAATTAAGAAATAAAAGCAAAAGGATACTTGTTTCCGAGATGAAAAGCGACATCTAACCGTAACAGTTATGATCATTTTATATTGGGTTCTTCAAAGTAATCTTGGGCGGGCGGGGATTATAATCCGTGCGCTAGAGGGCAGTTGCTTTAGCGGGTGGGGCTCCAAGGTGCGCGCGCACCGTTACATAACGGCAACGGAGGCTGTGAGAGCGCGCGCAGCGGCAGGTGCGGGGCGCGGGGCGATCGATGCGCGCCCGGGGGGAGTCAGTCGAGCGGCGAGCGAGCGACATGGCGGCGCGCCCACCCCGCGCGGCGGCCCCGCGGCCCGGGCCGCGCGAGTAGGTCGCCATGCGCGATGCGGTATGAGGCAGCGCCGCGCCCGGCGGGCCGGCCCCCGCTAGCGGCGCCGCCCCCGCCATGCGAGCGCCGCCGCTGCTGCTGCTGCTGCTGATGGCGGCCGCGGGCTTGGCCGTGAGTCCGCTCGCGCGCCTCAACCCCTGGCTGAGCGCGTGCGACCTGGAGGAGGAGGGCGCGGGCGGCGTGCGCGAGTGCGGGGGCGCGGCGTGCGGCAGCGGCGGCGGCGCGCCCGACGCGCTGACGGCACGCGACGTGCCGCACCTGTGCGCGCTGGGGGCCGGTGCACGCGCGCGTCGCCTCGCCGAGCTGCGGCTGCGCGCCTGCTGCGAGCGCTCGCCCGCCTCCGCACTCGACCGCGGCGCGCGCGCCGACGTCCTGGCCGGCGGCGAGCGCTGCGAGCGGACGCTGCACGACCTCCTCAGCCTCGACGCGATGGTCGCGCGCGTGCACTGCGACTTCGTCGACATCCTCAGTCGCTACGACTGCGACCAGTCCTACTCCGTACACACGTGTTACGAGTGCCAGGTGAGTGTCATCACGGGCTAGCGCTAATGATTCGGTAACACGTGTTGTTTCAGTGCTAATCACCAAGATCCAAAATAGTTTTTATTGAGAGAAATGACAAGATTGCTGTTAATCCGATGTGTCGAGAAATCAAAACATCATTAAGTCGTGTTAATCTGATGGCTGGCTTAAATCTCGTTATACTTCAGATAGTACACAAAAATATAAATGGTTAAATAATGAAGTAAGCGTACGAAACCACGTCATTGTCTGTCGAAAAGATGAGAGATTGAGGAGAGTGATAGGGAGAATCACGAAAGTACCGCGTGACCCGTTTCGCTGGTTAAGCGATTATATGCGTGTATCGATCCACTTGGCCAAGTCACGTTTCTTAACCTAGACGAAGTGAGGGACTGTCAGCGGTTGCCAGGGTAGGGTACGTGATGGATGAACCTATTAATTTCGCAGTGCTTTTGAACGAGATCTTGTGGTCGTTTATCTATATTGAATAAAGATGACTATTGTATACGACTGGCCCTTAGAAATAATTCCCAGCGTGACATTAGTGTTTATTACTCTTTTAACAATGATTTTTCACATGCTAGTGATATAATGGACTGAAACCTTGGGTAAACCAAACTAATTGATTTATAATAACAATTATGATCATAATTTCCCAGTTTCGACCTCTAATTCCGAGACACCATAAAGAACATAAGTTTACTATAATTTTAGGTACCTACATATTTTGTACATTTTTACGCCATCATAAGTGATGTAGTATTTGTCGTCATAGATGATGTAGTATTAGAAATAAACTACTTTTATATCCACACGTTGACAATCCCACATCTGGTCTTAAAGGTCATAACAAAAGTGTTTGGTAACTATCAGTATATCACCTCCAACAGTGTGCGAAGTTGCCATGTCTGTTGAAAGGTGTACGGGAAAAATAGGACTAGGCGAACTCTATGCCATGTCCTTGCCTTCTCTTCTGAACCCATCATTTTCTATACCTATAACGCAATTACTTTATTTATCTGCTTCAATCAGAGATACAGGTACTATATTAACCTGTTTCGTCTATTTTCATATTTTATTTATACATCTTTTCCATAAATTTCAATAATCTTATATTGAAAAAGATGCTTCCAATTTACCTGTTCGCTTTGAAGCGAAATCAGTTTAACACAATAAGAATCAAATAATTAAGTAAAATTAATCAAACAATATAGGAAAAATACTTAACTCGGCGCGAGAACGGTACATATTGTCAGATCAGAAATATGATGGATCGTACGTTAATTGATATGAAAGTAAAAATTATTGGGGCCGCTTGTGTATCCAAGCATTGATTGATAGATTCTGTAGAAGCTGTGACGGCTGTAATGTCAACAAGGAAATATGTACTTCTTTAATTAAGAACCCCTTTTATACTGTCCGTGTAAACTTCAGAATTTTGTCACACAGGGTTCTTTCACTAGGATAAAAAGTATTTTATTTACATTTAAGTTACAGTAACAATCATTCTCATCTATACTTAGGTTTAAAAATATGAATATAACCCTGTCAGACTCTCTGTTACACTTACGCTTTCCCTAAGCTACTAAAGCAATAACGATTAATTTAAGTAACAAGATTATTCTCAGAAAAAGACGTACACGATTTGGTATCAATATATATAAAGAGGTAGAAATCATCCCCTATTTCTACCCCTTTATATATGTATATTCAGATACATACAGATTGTATGTTAGTAGTATGACAGTAAATAAAATAACATTTGATATTCAAACTGGACTGGATTGTCCTGTGCCAGTTCAGCACAGTGAAAGTGGAAAAGAGTCTCTACCTATCTCTTCAGCTCAGAATACGCGTTACTGTGGCCTCTTTTATGAGAAATAAAAGGGTCTCCATAAAGAACTATATTAATTCGACTCTCCTGTGAATCATGGCGTTACTATTGCAATTCTTATTAACCTTGCGAGTTCGACTCGCATTTGGCAGGTTTTATAGCTACTAATTCGTCTCTCATGGAAACGCGGTGACAGTGTGTTGTACCGTGTGATTCATTTAAATAAAATAAAAATACTGCATGTAATGTTAAACTTGCAGTTCCATAAATCAGAGCGGATTGCGGCGGCTGTTTGATCATCACCTTCTTTTTCCGTAAAACAACATAGCAAAAGTGGTGGTCATTGAGAAAAAAATTACTATGAAAGGAGGGATGTTAATACCAAGGTTTATGTAACTGTCTGTTGTTGGTGTTATGAAACCTTTCATGATCATTTCATATCTGAATTGCTCTGAAAAGCAATATTTGACATTATATTTGTATGTCAGATCATATAATTTTTCCTACGACTGGATAGGTGGTTCTAAGACAAAACGTCTGCTTGCCCAGCAGCTTGTAGTGTAATATTTATCTGTGTACAGAATATGCTAATTCTTTCTAGTCTTGCAGTGATATTAAGAAAGAGTCAAATTTGTAACGTCAAGTACAATAAATGTCCTAATATATATCTAAACTTTACTCGTTGAAGGGTCCATAATGACATGCAATTATTAATTACTTTGACATTCAATTATTATTTAGAATTTGAATTTTATTATTATTATTACTTGACAATTGTATGAAATGAAAATTTTAAAATGCTTATTGTAATCCAATTTATAGTATTAATTGTTGTAATATTTTATTATTTCATGCATGTACTTATGAATAATTCTATGATATTTATTACTTGTACATTATGGAAATAAAGAGGCTATATTGTTATTATTATTATATATCTAAACTGTATATTAAAAAGTTCACATTGATGTTAACAATAGTTGCTATATACTTATCTAGCCGGTTAATTAGCATTTACAATGTCTTAGCTGCAACACAGGAACCGATTGCATTGTTATATCCACCAGTTGTCAGTGGCGTGTCAGAGGCCCCTTTCCGTCGACTAAGACGTCACCTGCAGGTTCTGAAAGCTTTCAAACGTTTGCCACTCCGTTTACTTCATTCATTTTTGTGTCTGTTAACTCGAGTCGAGAAATGTTCGTTTATTTTCTAAACGGCAACAATAAATGTTACTTATCTTACTTCCCATGTCCGTTTTCTTCCAAAGCTAGGTTAGAACTTTTATTGGACCCCTATTTATCTTACTGTATATTGATGTTCGCTTGATTCTTTCTTCGAATCTCGTTTAAGGACTTCTTTATTGTAGCAATTCGAGATTATTAAAAAACAAATATTCGTCGTGGTAATGACACTCACGCACGTATGTTTTGCTTTTAAATTGCTTTTTAATACCAGATTAAAAAAATATAATTTAAAAACAAAAGGAATAGAATCAAAATGCTTAAAACATAATGCTTCTTATCTTCCTTAACCGTTTATGATCTATTCTAGAAAGCTAACAACTCGCATTTTTTTATTCTAGTTTATCAGAAAGTCAGTTATAAGCGAAATGAAATGATAACAGAACATGTAAAGAATGAATCGGATGAATTCTGGCAGATAAGGAAGGATTAGTTTTGTTTCCCCAATTGATCCCCTTTCCACGCGCGAAAATTTATTGTGAGGTTAACGATACTCTACTCTGTCTGGAAAAGCTTTTATTTACTCAAGGCTCACGAGAATTGGTTTCGAATTATAGTTTGGTTTTATTTAATAAAAAAATCTACTTAGATATGGTAAAGGTTGATCTCATCACGAGCATGTCTCATTTATTTACAGTCATAAAGTTGGAAACATAGATTTTCAACATCCTGCGGCTTGATCGAGTGGTTTGATTAAATAGGCTCAATGAAGCCAAACTGAGTGAACATGCCACTTGACGGCAAGATTTGGGTTTGATCAAGTCAAGCGGCATGATGGTGAGTAACCATTACTAGTCCGCTTAGAGATATAGACGCAGATTTAGGGTATTCTTTACAATCCTCCTATGATCATCGCTACGTTGGATACAAAAATATTAATATTAATTCAATACCCTTTTGTAATTATAATGTTACTTTGTGACTTTGTGAGAGAAATAAATAAATCATTCATTCATTCATTAAATTCAATGAATATAAAACCCTAGAAACGTTCTTTACTTTTGCATTAAAATGCCCTTGCTGGTTATTTAAATTAGCAACTTTATGTAAATAAATAAATTAGGATACGACCTTACTTGAATTTATGAACTGACCAGAATTTCGTATTATCCAACATCTGAACACTTGATTTTTGTTTAAGATGCTCTTTGATGCATTTTTAAACATAAGTTTTGTTTTTGAATAAGAGTAAAGGAAAGATAGGGTATCTTGATTTAGTAAGTATTATAAGATAGTTAATATAAGATAGAAAATATTATTATAAAAGAATTGAATTACATTAGGTTACAGGCTAAGAAATATTTCTATGCTTGAAACAAGTTTGAATCTACGCACTTTAGGACATTTTGGCGTTATTTTACCTGACTGCACAATGCAAGAGCGCGAAGCGCGACGCGCTGACAGGGTATCGTGTTTAACAGTCTATATTTGTAACTATGTTCCTTTGTGGCACACTAGAGACTAAACGCGTTGACCGATTTTGATGATTCATACATCAATCGATTCGTCTTTATCATGGGAGTGCTACTAAAGATATGATAATAATAGAAAATCAATATGGAGACAACTGGGCGCCATCGACATATTGTGAGAAATAAAAAAAATAAGTTGCCGAAATACGTCAACTGAGGTATCATTGTCTAGATAATCGAAAATCATGTTTAGGTTCCTCACACCATTTTTCATTTTATATGATTGTTTAGGATCTACAACGATTTAAAGTTGTTTATTAACCACTTCAGCTTTTAATTTCAATCTTACTTTTGTATGGATCTTTGTAACTCTTTCACTCAAAAAATACTAAATGGATTTTAATTAAACTAGTCTATAATATAGATCATACATAATAATAGCATATAGATTATAATTTATGTAGTTATTTGGTGAATTGGCCAAAATATAACAATAAGTGTCACGTAAGACGG